GCCATACTACACTAACAAATGTTATATACATTCACTTTTGAATGTGTTAAGTTCACTAATCAACGGAGTGGGGTCTCAAACCTGAGAATTTAGAGATGTTCTAATACAAACGTTCAAGAAATCAATTATTTAATTCAAAATGCAGTATAATGTCTATCGCTTCATTTCTGGAAGGATACGGAAATTTTGGCACATGATAACTCGCGACCTCAAAAGGTGCGGAACTTTGACCTCTCACGACCTACTTAAGGTCAGGTTCTAACCCGTAAAAAATTCAACGAAATCGACCGGATTACACAATGGGTATACATCTGGCATATCCAGATAAACTCAGCAATCACATACTAATTTTTTTGTTTTATAACGTGAAAACACAACCGCACTAAGACTGTTTACGATCTCCCACACCCACTTATACATGCTTGTTTCACCCATAACCACAACATTTGGACTAAAACTTGACAGAAACTTAAGAACACAAACACATACACACGTCACCTTAAAGTATCAACCCGTTCTTGGGTGGCTTAATCTTCATCAACCAACCATCCTAAGTGTATCCTCATGCACAAACATGCATGAGGATACGCATATACAAAGCCCTAATACGTCCACTCATCACCTATACACCGCTCCCACTTTCCATCGCTATGCAAATTTATAAGCCCTCAATACGTACTGTAAAAACCGTAGCCGACAATTACATGGACTTACACAGATCTGGGGTAAATGTGGGTGAATTGTAGTCTTTACACTCCCGCCGCTGGATATGGGGGTGGGGAGGGGGTGCATAAGCAAATCACATTATGAAATCAGATCACTACATTTGTAGGTTGCTTAGCTTAGAGTCTATACTTGTGGTCGGTATCGAACCCATTGTTGATATAATAATTCATTAAACTATGGAACTAGTTTATCAAGACTGTAACTTTCTTAGCTAAGTGAATTTTGGGGTTCAGCTCCTTAGCCCATTATGTGCCTATGTATGTAACCTTTCCCACTACCGTCCACAGGAGGGGTATAGGGTACATACTAATGAAAGTGACCTTTTTCAACGCATACACGAAATGTCAGCACCATGGAGAAATGCCCGACAAACCACAGGAACATTATCCAACACAGTGCGGAGTAACAAACCAAATAGGATTTCAACTGTGATTTAACAGAGCACAAAAAGTTGTTAAACACATTGGGCATAATCTTACTGAAGCCAACATGAGTCATTAATACTTTTACACCGCTAAAGTAAGACAGAAACAAGAAAGGAGTAACACTTAGTGGGCCAGCCAGAGGCATAGGGCTCGCGCAGGAATATCCATGAAAAAAAAAGAAAAACGAATGCACTACCGCTAATGCACCTAACTAGCGGGGCGCTAGTGGTTAAGTGGACAGCACGCTGGATACGTAATCTCGTGGTCCGGGGTTCGATTCCCGGCGCCGGCGGAAACAAAAAGGGGCAGTTTCTTTCACCCTGATGCTCCTGTTACCAAGCAGTAAATAGGTACTTGGGAGTTTGACAGCTGTTACGGGCTGCTTCCTGGGGATGTGTGTGTGTGTGAAAAATACTAGTTAGTAACAGATGATTGACAGTTGAGAGGCGGGCCGAAAGAGCAGAGCTCAACCCCCGCAAGCACAACTAGGCGAATACTAATGGTTTCGTGCCCTCCCCTCCCCCCACATCTCCCCCTCACACACCTGCAAGACGGCTCCGGCTCCTCCTTAAATCTACGCAGGTTTAGTTAACTTTCCGATCTGGCTTTGTTAATGCTCTTGTGTAAACCTACGACCATTCAGGTCTACAGTCACATGTGTGGCTCAGTCATCAGTTTCCCCACCGCTACTCTACGCTACGATCCTCATATACTTCAACGGATATAAACTGCTGGAAGTTACTGTTCACCTTCACTTACATTCGCTGGTCAGTGACACAGCTTACTTACAAGGCACTTTATAATATACAGACTTACATATAAAATTTATTCCACATTAAAGCTCAGCAGTTCATGCCTACATCTGTTAAATAGCCTAACAACGCTAAAATAGCTCCTGCTCGAAAAATATCACGTTTCCGTTATGTTAAATGTTATATTGTTAAATGTTACGTTATATCTGTTACATTGTTAAATATCATTAATTTTTCATTGTTAAATATCATATTAATTTTTCATTGTTAAATATCATATTAATTTTTCATTGTTAAATATCATATTAATTTTTCATTGTTAAATATCATATTAATTTTTCATTGTTAAATATCATATTAATTTTTCATTGTTAAATATCATATTAATTTTTCATTGTTAAATATCATATTCATTTCCACTCACGGTGTAAATAAATGGCTTCCCTTACGTAGTATGTATTTTCACACTGTATGTTAATTGTTATCATATATCTTCTTCAGGTTATTTTGAGATGATTTCGGGGCTTAGCGTCCCCGCGGCCCGGTCCTCGACCAGGCCTCCTTTTTGTTCCACACTCCCAGGAAGCAGCCCGTAGCAGCTGTCTACTCGGTGCCTATTTACTGCTACGTGAACAGGCACATCAGGATGAAAGAAACTGCCAATTTGTTTCCGCCTTCACCGGAGATCAAACCCGGAACCTCAGGACTACGAATCCGAAGCGCTGTCCACTTAGCTATCAGGCCCCTTCAATATATATATAAATTTGGCAAATGACTCAAACGTTCATAGACTTATACTGTTCGTTGACGACACTACCTTCATCTTTTCGAACCCCCAACATTCACACTCTAAAAAATATTATTGCAAATAACATTATCAAAATAAGGTTCATTCGTGGATCTCTACCAACATACGCTAAACATAAACAGAACTACTACATTTTATTTGTTAACAAATTATCGAACCACACACACCTTCAGATAGACAATATAAATATTGGTAGTAAAAGTGCGGGAAAGTTCCTTGACCTATACGCAGACAAAAGACTTAACTACTGTTCTCACATACAGCACAGCAAAGAAAAAGTATAAAACTGTTGTTAAACTAAAAAAAAATCAGCTATTATGTTCCCCGCTCTGCTCTTCTCACACTATACGAATCTCTTATCTATTCCTATCAATCTTACGGCATCTTTGCATGAGGTTCAGCCATTGCAAACTATCTCAAGCCCATCATCACCCAACAAAAATCTGCTATCACAGCTATAACAAATTCTGTCATCAGACAACACACAGCCTCTCTCCTCAAATCCATAAATATTCTAAACATATACTCACTCCACACATTATATTTGTAAGTGCTATTTTCACTTACAAAACTACCAAGTTCCTAAATTCTAATTTTGTTTTGAACCTCTTCCTTTGTGGATGTAATAGAACCCATAAACATCATTTCAGAAATAAATATATCTTTGATATTCCGTCAAAATAAATCTATGCAACCATGTTATGTAAACAAAGGAACCCAATATATGGAACTGACTCCCTAGTGAAGTAAAATGTTCGAAACGTTGTGTGTATTAGTGGCTTAGGCTTAGCATATACTAGCCGTACGTAGAAATCAAACTTTCTTCTTGTATCCCATTTTGTATGTATGTACTTTTCCCTAAATAAATATCTCACCTCTCCCCACCTTTCTACCCCCCTCTCTCCTTCCCTCTTCCTATCATTCCTCCCACTCTACATCTCTATTTCTTCCACTCCTCTCTGTCTCTCTTTATGTATCTCTCCCCCTTTCCCCGCCTCTAGTACAGTTCTATGTGTCCAGTTTCTGGTACAGCTCTGTGTTGCTTCGTGTTTAGTAAGGTCTATGTGTTTTCCCGATTAAATTACAGCTCTATGTGTTTCTCTATCTATAGTAACCTTGTATGTATTAATGTCTTTGTACAGCTCTAGGTGTTTCTCTATCTCTAGTACAGATCTGTGTTCTCCGTATCTAATACAGCTCTATACATTCTTCGTCTATATAGTACATCTCTATGTGTTCCAACGGGTATATATTCAAGTTACATGTGCATTATGGCGTGTGTGTATTTACTTATTTAACAGTAGCTCTCGGTGGCAGCATTTTCCTTGAGGGATACAGGTAAACTGTGAACTGTGTCCTAGTCCAACCACTTGGGCTGGACGGTAGAGCGACGGTCTCGCTGTATGCAGGTCGGTGTTCAATCCCCGACCAGCCAAGTGGTTGGACACCATTCCTTCCCCAAATCCTTATCCTGACTACTTCCAAGTGTTATATAGTCATAATGGCTTAGCGCTTTCCCTTGATAATTCCCTCCCTAGTGGCCACAATATTCAAGAGCATGAATCAACGTCATCAACGTTGAATTATTGACACAGAATCAACATCATCAACGTTGAATTAGCGTTGATTCAACGTCGAACCTTGGGATACCGTTCCCAGCGGGATCGGATTCGCGAATGTTCCACACCTTCGTTTGTTTTCTTAAGTTACTGCATGTGCAGCGTTCTGGGAAAACTATGATGGATAATGTACGTTGGGCGCTCTTGGTTAAGCAGTTCCGTTCCCTCAACCTTTTATTTTGGTTATTATACTTAACTTTCGCCATTACTCGACAACTGGGGCCGCCTTAATGGTCATTTTCGTTAAATGCTCCTAAAAACATGGCTCTTGCCGTTTGCTTCTGGTGACTTTCTTTATGTGGCGTCGTGTAAATAATGAGCCGAGAGACATGAGACCAGCCTCAGTGTGCAGACCCGTCCTGTTTATTGCTGCTGCTGAATTCTGAATAAAAGCGACATCATTGGAAAGTGTTCCGATCTGATGGCGGCGGCGGTGGCGGGCGGTAGTGATCTTGCCATACACGGGGGCTTCTTACCTTTTGAGCATCATGATTATTCACAGTTAATAAGCATCCTTATCCATCACATTTCAGGCATACTTGCGATATTATGACCATTACCGGATTATTTATTGCCAGCGAGAGTAAGGAAGGTAGGAGGTGGTGCTGGAAGATGGAGCAGATGGCGAGTGATGGCAGGCGGGAGAGGTTATATTACCTGCCGGCGCCAGGGCCGAGCGGGGAGTTTCTCTGAAAACTCCGAGACAGCAAGTGTTGTGTCCTGGTCTTCTCGATTGTTTGCTATTTTTGTGACTATATTTATCTCCAGCATGACGGAAAAGGCAGATATGCCGGGGGACACCGTGTCTCTGCCGCCGACATACGCACCCTCCGAGGCCTATTCGGAGTCACCACCGCCGGTATGTTACTCAATTACTTTTATGATAAAAATATATTTTTTTATATTTTATGTGAATACTGCGCATCTAGGATGGATTCAGTTTATGTTTAGTATATGTATGTTAACAGTTTCACTGGAATAGTTGTGTTACTGTATATCAGAAGAGAGAGGAAATAATTACAATACGCTTCTGGATAATATGTCGAAGTCGACACATGGGAGTAACGTAACGACTCGTGAACCACTCAATTAATGGTTAAGAGACTGGGCCCCAAGAGCTGGAGCTCACTGGATATTAACATTAGCGAGTACAAACACGCACAGATGAACGGGGAATGTGTCGGAGTACGTGGGTTGGGAGGCGAGTGAGGTATCCTCATGGGAGGTAACACCCACTCTACCTCATTCCCCACTGTTGTACCACCAGCCGCCATACATGGTCAGCTCTCTCTCTTTCTCTCTATCTCTGTCTCTATCTGTCTCTCCATCTCTCTCTCTGTCTATCTCTGTCTCTCTGTCTATCTCTGTCTCTCTCTCTGTCTATCTCTGTCTCTCTCTCTGTCTATCTCTGTCTCTCTGTCTATCTCTGTCTCTCCATCTCTCTCTCTGTCTATCTCTGTCTGCATCTCTGTCTCTCTGCATCTGTGTCTGTCTGTCTGTCTGTCTGTCTGTCTGTCTGTCTGTCTGTCTGTCTGTCTGTCTGTCTGTCTCTCTCTCTCTCTCTCTCTCTCTCTCTCTCTCTCTCTCTCTCTCTCTCTCTCTCTCTCTCTCTCTCTCTCTCTCTCTCTCTCTCTCTCTCTCTCTCTCTCTCTCTCTCTCTTTCTTTCTTTCTTTCTTTCTTTCTTTCTTTCTTTCTTTCTTCCTCCCCTCCCCCTCCCTCCCCCCCCCGGGTGACCAGAAACAAAGCTGGAAGTGCAACAGAAGAACCTGCTGCCGTTAGAAAGTTGAGGCATCGTGCGTTTTCTCTTGTCAGTTTCACAACGCAGCCTAGTTATCCATTATTTCTGGCCTAACCCACTACAACCCGTCCCAGACCTGGCCTAACCCACTACAACCAGTCCCAGACCTGGCCTAACCCACTACAACCAGTCCCAGACCTGGCCTAACCCACTACTACCAGTCCCAGACCTGGCCTAACCCACTACTACCAGTCCCAGACCTGGCCTAACCCACTACAACCCGTCCCAGACCTGGCCTACCCCACTACTACCAGTCCCAGACCTGGCCTAACCCACTACAACCCGTCCCAGACCTGGCCTAACCCACTACTACCCGTCCCAGACCTGGCCTAACCCACTACAACCCGTCCCAGACCTGGCCTAACCCACTACTACCCGTCCCAGACCTGGCCTAACCCACTACTACCAGTCCCAGACCTGGCCTAACCCACTACTACCAGTCCCAGACCTGGCCTAACCCACTACTACCCGTCCCAGACCTGGCCTAACCCACTACTACCCGTCCCAGACCTGGCCTAACCCACTACAACCCGTCCCAGACCTGGCCTAACCCACTACTACCCGTCCCAGACCTGGCCTAACCCACTACAACCCGTCCCAGACCTGGCCTAACCCACTACTACCAGTCCCAGACCTGGCCTAACCCACTACAACCCGTCCCAGACCTGGCCTAACCCACTACTACCAGTCCCAGACCTGGCCTAACCCACTACAACCCGTCCCAGACCTGGCCTAACCCACTACTACCCGTCCCAGACCTGGCCTAACCCACTACTACCAGTCCCAGACCTGGCCTAACCCACTACTACCAGTCCCAGACCTGGCCTAACCCACTACTACCCGTCCCAGACCTGGCCTAACCCACTACTACCCGTCCCAGACCTGGCCTAACCCACTACAACCCGTCCCAGACCTGGCCTAACCCACTACTACCCGTCCCAGACCTGGCCTAACCCACTACAACCCGTCCCAGACCTGGCCTAACCCACTACTACCAGTCCCAGACCTGGCCTAACCCACTACAACCCGTCCCAGACCTGGCCTAACCCACTACTACCAGTCCCAGACCTGGCCTAACCCACTACAACCCGTCCCAGACCTGGCCTAACCCACTACTACCAGTCCCAGACCTGGCCTAACCCACTACAACAGACCCAGACCTGGCCTAACCCACTACAACAGACCCAGACCTGGCCTAACCCACTACAACAGACCCAGACCTGGCCTAACCCACTACAACCCGTCCCAGACCTGGCCTAACCCACTACAACCCGTCCCAGACCTGGCCTAACCCACTACAACCCATCCCAGACCTGGCCTAACCCACTACAACCCGTCCCAGACCTGGCCTAACCCACTACAACAGTCCCAGACCTGGCCTAACCCATTACAATCAGTCCTATAACTGGTCTAGTCCAACCCACAAGTCCCCGACAACCTGAGCTTAACACAACCACCTCTAAGCTAACTCAAGTTAAATTATTCAACCAAAGCTAAATGTTACCAAGCTTACCTCATGCATGTATTATGCTAAATACAAGTAAATAAACGTTGCCTATTCCAACTAAATGTAACTAAATCCAGTTATATTTATGTAAAAAAAAAAATGCCATATTTAATCAGCCTAATTTAGACGAACCTAACCAAAAACTACTACAGTTAACGAGGTTTAATTTAACGAAATCAAGTCTAACCTCAACAGGGCAAAATTAGTGTGCCTTTTTTTTCTAAATTACGCAGCCTACCTTGCGATGATTTCAGGGCTCAGCGTCTCCGCGGCCCTGTCTCCTCGACCAGGCCTTCCTAGGTTGTTGTTGTTTTAGATTTAGCTACTCAGAACGAAGTGTCCATGTAGCACAGGCTATGGTGAGCCCGTAACTCCCGAGGCAAACCTTAACAGCTTAATCTAACGAAGGTGGCCTAACCAGGAGGGGGCAGGGAATGTGGTTCACCTGACCTCTGGGTCAGGTGAGAGCGGGCGAGAGGTTACATTACCCGAGTCTGGCTTCCTCCACCCGTAAGTCCACTACGGGCTCACCATAGCCCGTGCTACTTGCCCCGCTCACGTGCCAGGTAAGTTATGGGCTCACCATAGCCCGTGCTATTTGGAACTTGGTCCGAGTAGCTGAATCTATAACAACAACAACATTCCTCCACCCCGTCCTCTCCAGTGCTCACAAAGTCACTAAACTGATGTTCTAAATTGCCCGAACCTAACCTAACTGAGGTCCCACGCGTAGAAAACGGGACATTACGTTAATTTTCCGAGCTGCTATAATTTTTAGTATGACAGTTTTAGTTGCCCTTAGGGGATTAATATGTCAAAATGCGATGCACTACTGGAGAGGTGACGGGTCGTAGCACAACCTCCACTCACTGTTAGGTGACTAATTGTTGTTGGTTGTGATGTGGAGTTATGAGTTGTGTGGAGGTATATAGTGGGAAAGTATTGGTAGTAGTGGTGGTGTGCGCACGCGCGTGCGGGAGCGCCATGATGAGTCACCAGAGAGCTGGGGCTTTCAGGAGACCTTCGCAAATATGACTTGACACATACAGTCATGTGTGTGTGGTGAGGTGGTGGCTGGTCACACACACACACACACACACACACACACACACACACACACACACACACACACACACACACAGAAGGTGGTGGATGCCAAGACCGTCAGTAGTTTCAAAGCGTTATATGACAAAGAGTGCTGGGAAGACGGGACACCACGAGCGTAGCTCTCATCCTGTAACTACACTTAGGTAATTACACACACACACACACTAAGTCAAAGTCACTTTCGCGAGTCGCTTCCATTTTCTAGTACGACAATTTTGGGCCTTATGTAACGCATACTATCGAAATGTGACGTTCTTTGTAGGAGGAGAGGTTGACCCACCACCACCACTCCGGTGTTTTTCGTGAACCCGGACAATTCCTACTCAAGTGTTGCTGTTTAAGATTCAGCTACTGGGGACAAAAAGTTCCAAGTAGCACGGGCTATGGTGAGCCCGTAGTGGACTTACCTGGCACAGGAGCAATTCTGTACCTGAATGTTGCCTAAATTCCAGAAGAGTTTATAAGCTTTCCTCTTGCATATAAATATAAATGTATTTAGTGAGGCTCCTGACCTGTCCGTTCTTCTTTTTTTTGGCCACTCCGTAAAAAATGCATCTGTCTTTATTGACCAGAAACGTATAAACCCAATGTTCTTGTTGTTTAGACTCAGCTACTGGGAACCAAACATTGCAAGCAGCACGGGCTATGGTGAGCCCGTAGTGGACTTACCTGGCACAGCAGATGTGCCCACTAAGCAACGCACCTAACCTTACCAGGCTGATCAATTCAATACGTCAATATTATAGTGCTTCAATATTGTCTAATACGTCGTATTTTTTAACGGATTGGTCAACGTTTACAACATACTTATGGGAGTCGACAGGTGTTCAGAGCGAGGGTTGGACCAGAGAGGTCATGCGCTTCTCCAATTCAAATTTCAGTGCGACCAAAGACCAAGAGCCGAAGAGGCATGAGACCTTTGGATTAATGTTTAAGATACAGAGCCCAGGAGCTGGAGATCAACTCCAGGTCACGTAGGTTAGTACACAAACACGCGCCACCAGCCAGTAATGGTTTAGAAAGTCAACACAGTTAACAGGAAACTAAAATTAAATTAGTTTTTTCCAAATGCCAACACATTACAGCGATCAAGACAGACATAGCAACACAAACACAGACGGACAGAGGCATGAAGAGATAAAGACAAGAATAAAGGATAAAGAATGAGAAAGCTAGACAAGAAAAAGTCAGCGCCATGTTTTCCCTGGTGAAAGTTGGGGCGAGCAGAGTGAGAGCCCACGTGTTCACCCACCATTACCACCTCCCTCCTCCCGCTCTCTCTGTTGTAGGTACAACAGCTAGGGATTCACCTGCCTGTTGTCGCCGGGATTGAGCTTCAGCTCCTACGTCCCGCCTCTTTATATTCATTCTCTTTTAAACCCACGAATGAAGTCTACCTAACCTCGAACTCGCTCTATTTCTTCACCAACCTTAATGTACACTGAA